AGCCCAAGAGACGTTGTTCACGGTTTAGGGTCTACTTGGAGGCCCATGGGACGTAGTAGCCACTTACACCTGGGCTTATAACCCTACTTTTGATAATCCCAGTTATAAGTAATAACTAGGTCCCATGGGCCTCCAAGTGAGCAATTGCCTAAACCCCTAGTATCCCCCTTAATAACTCCTATAGTAGTACCCTATATAATCCCTTATATGTCCCCCTTTAAGGAGTTTAGAATATGGCTCAAGTACGGTTTAGGGCGTTGGATTTGGCGTTTTGGGTTTACATCTTACACTGCACCTCGGTCAGGGAGAGCCTTTTTGCAGTTCTGTTTTCAATACCCCTCGAGATACCACGAGGTCACGAAGCAGTGTGGAAGCCGAAGAACGTGTCTATACCTTACCCTCATGGGGCCTATATTATGATAGTTTATGGTGTAGAAACTAACACAAGACCTCGTCTCAAAGGCTCCTACAATACTTCTTGGCTTATGCAGCATGGTAAGCAGTCCGCTGATGGACAGCTGCCTCGCGGCCCTCAGCCAGGACCTTAGTCTAAACTCCTTAAAAGGGGGTTATGTAGGGGATTATATGGGGGTTTCCCAAAATTAGGGGGTACCTTTTTGGAGGTCCCCACAATCAGGACTATAGTATGTGGGGGTCTATATTAGGGCCCGCTTATTTAAGCAAACTACCATATAGGGACTACTATAGGGGAGCTTTAGGCTAGGTTCTGTGGTCGTTTTGGATTCAGCTTTTCACCCAGGCAGGTGTGAGACAGGGCGCCTGTTGCACATGTTTGCTGGCCGTTGGCAGGGAATGGAGGAACCCATCTCTATAGTCTCTAAGTGAAGTCCTGATATACTGAATACTATTACTTGAGTCCCTACTAGCCACCTAGGACAAACGTACGGACAGCTGAAAGACAACAGTGGGAGCCGTGCAAATCTTGCATGTCGCCTAAGCCCAGAAGAGATCCTGCAATGCTCACAAAGTGCTTGAGTAACAAAGATCGGGGGTTCATGAGGTTTATGCCACCCATAAGTGTTGCGAATATACCTGCCTACCCACCTAAGCTCAAAATCCCTACATCATCTCAATATCCAAGTCATTTGTCATTTTCTTGTCCGTTGAATTCTCCATTTTTAGGGTAATCTCCCATTTCTGTTGTGACCGAGTGGGAAGGTCGCATTGCGAATGGCTGAGTTCTGGTACATAAGAGGCCCATCATCGTCCCTGTGCTAGCATCATTGAAGCGTTGCTCTTCTAGGTTTGGCCAACAGGGTTTAGGGTCAAAGTTGAAGGTTTCGAACAAAGTCACTAAACGCCAAACAAAAAAAGCTGGAACAGAAACCCTGCAGCGCACTTCGACATGTCAGATTAGCGGGCGCGCCATTTTCCGCACCCTCTTGCCTGAGATGGGACTCTCCAGAGCGTAGTAGGGAACAACGGAGACGATCACAGGAAGTCTTCGGAGAGTTTGTATAGGGATCTCGCTTTCTTCCCTACTTAGCACCATGGGAGTAGGACGCATCGCTCGCATGCATGGAAAACAATTCCCAGACTTGGACGCCTGGACTTTGCAAAGCGTCCCTGGGCCCGCTGGTCTGACCCAGTTGCATTCGTTAAACTCAAGAACCCTGCGTGATCCATAGTACTGGAAGAGTCCCGGGGTTAAAGCGGTCTAGGAAGTGTTAGGGAGCACGCTTAGGTTTGGTTACTGCTGGGCTGCTGCAATGCTGTGATCAAGATGGACTTTGTTCCCCAACTCCATGCCCCGGCAATGTGTACCATAATTCTTGAGGTGTCTAGTACTCGCCCAGGGTCACGCTGTAGGGTCATGCAAGGCTCTTCCATCAACAGTCTGACTCTCTGCCTGAGCCTGGAGCTCCAATGTAAGAAGCAAGTGAGGAGCTAGTCATTAGGGTTTAGGGTTTAGGGTTCTTGTTGTGTGCAATGTCCAAATAACCTCTCCTGCAAAAATACTCTGGGCCTAAATGATGTACAAATTTAGGCACCAAGGGCCCAAACTATGTACTCTACATCCGCTCCACAGGGCAAACACTTACTGAACCTAAACCCTAAGCCCGGGACTGTAAGAAGCTCTACTTCACTGCCCGGCTGGTAAGCAAACATACCCCAAATTTTCATTTAGTACTTGCCTCAAGGCGTTCCTAGACAGACACTCTTGCGGGGGCCAAGCCTGTACCACATTAAGTGTAGGTACATGGACTCTTGAGAAATGAGCCTTGCATACATTCATCCTCAGGGAGTTTTCCTTTGTACCCTTAGGTTTGTACCATTGGGTCTTGGGTCCCTACATTATGGAATATGGCCCTCAATAAGGGTATCTGGGACCCAAAACTTAGGGGTACAAACATTAAGGGTACAAACTTAAAGTCTTTGACATCCGTAACTCATGCGCCCTAAGTCTCCTTCAGGGGTACCTCCGCAAGGAAGGGCACCCCCAGCCGCGTGCAGATGCGGTTCAAGAGACGCCGCCACATAGCGAGGAGCCTTGGGAGCTTTAGGATTTAGGGTTAAGGTTGGGTACTAATGGAAAAGAAAATGGAAACTACTGTACTGGGTTTAGGGTTTAGGGGTTTAGGGTTTAGGATTTAGGGGTTTAGGGTTTAGGGGTATATGTTGGGTACTGCCCCCAACCCAGTAACAGTCGATATTAGGGGTCCTATTGGGGGCTATATATAACCCTATTATAATTATTATCCAACTGTTACTGAGGGGGGTCAATACCCAAGCTTTAGGATTTAGGGTGGGCGGCTCTAGGGGTATATGAGCTATAGTCTAAACTCCGGGTATCCCCCTGAAGAACACCTATAACACTTCCCTATGTAACCCCCTACATATTTCCATTTTAGGGACTTTAGACTATAGCTCTTATGGTTCAGGGGTCCTCGAGATGAATCACGTCTATATGCCCTAGCTTTTAGTATCACTATCCCTTTTGGGGGGAATTCTGTAGGGGCAGGGGAAGCCACGACGTTGATCAAAAACCGCTCATTGAATCTCTAGGCACCCCAAACAAGCCTACACCCTAAACCCCAAACAACCCTTAAACTTAGGTCAATTCCCCCCTAAAGTAATGGCTCCTTAATATGAGTTGTTAGGGCCTTACTATACCTACAATAGTCTTTTGTGGTGCCCATTGCTGGGTGTGGGATTGACACAACCTTAAACCCCATAAATCCAATCTAGGCACAGAGCGAGCTGTACCGTGGCCACCAGGAGCCAACCAGCTGCTCCCAGACTGACGCCTCGTCTTCCCGGAAGTATCCAGGGTTGGGCTTTAGGGTTCAGGGTGTATAGTCCCCCTTAAGTAGATAGAATATGGCTTTGGGTATATTGTGATAAGATCCCCATATACCCCATATTCTATCTACCGAACGGGGACTATAGATCTGAACCCTAACCCTAAACCCTATATATAGTAGTTTCCATTTTCTTTTACATTATCCCCATAAACCCCCTTAAACCCTAGGTTTTAGTGTTCGAGGGGCAAGGGTCTAGGGTTTGGGGCATAGGGCTGATGATTCAGAGTAAACCTGTAACCCCAAGCACCTGAAGCTCAGTAGCAATCATCCCCTTAATTAGGGTTTAGGGTTCAGGGTTTAGGGCTTTAGGGTTTCCTATAAGCCCTCAACCCTAGAACCCCTAAAGCCTATAACCCTGTAGACCGTAAACCCTATAAACCCTTAAACCCTATAAACCCAAAACTCCAAACTTACAAACCCTAAACCCTTAAACCCTATAAACCCTATAAACCCTTACACCCAAAACCCCAAACTTAAAAAGCCCTAAACCCTAAAGAGGGTTTCAGGGGTTCAGGCTTCCGTGTAAAGGCTCCGGGATGCACCTCAGTTCAAGGGATTCAAAGGTAGGGTTTAGGGTTTAGGGGTTAAGTAGGGGGCTTAGGGTTTAGGGTAGTACCTGAACCCCAAAAGTATGTAAAATAATTGCCTTTATGGCTATTATTAGGGGTTTAGGGCTATTATTTTACATCCTTTTGGGGTGTAGGTAAGCCTTAAGTAGGGGGGTTCAGGGTTTAGGGCAGTTCCCCTTCAGTAGATATACGGTTTAGGACTAGGATCTAGGGTTTCCCTTAAGGAGATATAGGGTTCAGGGTTTAGGGTAGTCCCCCTTCAAGTAGATATAGGGTTTCAGGTCTAGGCCTTACGTAGATTTAGGGTTTAGGATTCAGGGTCTATGGTTTCCCTTAGGGAGATACAGGGTTTAGGATTTAGGGTAGTCACCCTTAAGCAGATAAAATATGGGGTATGTGGGATCTGATTATGATATTGGCTATTGGACAATTCCATATTCTATCTACATAAGGGGGGCTATAGATCACAGCCTGGAGTATCAATTTGATCTCGTACTTTGTCTTGCCCCTAGATTCGAAATAAATTCCCCTTCAGAAGCTCCCCTATGATTATGTGTACCTATCCTTAGGACAACTAATTACTTGCTGTACTACACATGGCCTGATCGTGGCAGGCAGCAGTCGTCAAAAAACATTCTATGGCTTCTGAGTCTAATGAATAAGACAGCAAAGTTGAAGTGTGCCAAGGAGCCAGCGACCTCCAAAGCATTTCCCGCAAGGAAAGGTACCATTTCGGCATGAAGCGCAGGCCAGGGGACACGAAAGGTAGCCATGAAGCGCATCTTCGTCATGAGAAGCCTGCTCAGTCATAAGAACATACTATGTCACTGGGCAACATGAAGTAAGCGAGATTAAGCAAGCCAATTGGATGGTGACACAGCAGCACGCCTACATCTACGCACAAAAGGCCTTGTGGGGAGCTGCAGGCAGCTTAGTCCCGATTTCCTAGTTCGACTTTCCTTGAGCACGAAGACTTGCACTCCCAACACCTGCAAGTATCCCGCATGAGCCACTGTCTAAACTCCTAGTACCTCTATAACACTCCCCTATATAATCCTCAATATAACCCCCTTTAAGAAGTTTGGACTACAGCTCAAATGTTCATCTAGGCAAGGCGCGAGGCATGCATCCCCACCACGGTGAAGGTCAACAGCGGCCACTCGGGTCTCAGTGGGGAGGCCGCCTGAGTTGCTGTTAAGGGACTTACATTAAGTTACCATAATCGGTATATATATATATATTGATTAATATGGTTTCCCCAACATAGTAGCTCAAATTAAGTTCCTTAACGGCGACCCAGCCGCTAGACGCATGGCCGCAACAGTGTGCAAAGCCAGGTGGGCAAGGGGAAAGGCGGCCCTGAGCCTGTCCAAACCCTGAAGATTCAGAAAGATCCGCAAGGCAAAGGACAGGCAGACGCCTCCACAGACTAGGATGACCCCTGTGGTCACAGGGTCCAAAATAGGCCTAGCTCCGAAGTAAGGGATCCAGTCCGGCAGATGGGACTTGGCAGCATCAGGGCCAAAGATCCCAGGCAAAGAGATGACTGCCATGGAGGCAAACTCGCCCTCCGTGATCCCACGCTGATCCAGGGAGCCCAGGACTAGCTCACCCCACTGTGCACAGAACCAGGCCCCATGAAAGAGGCAAAAGGCTAGCATGAGATTTGGGTCCTTTAGCTCTGGATCAGCTGTCACTACAACAGCGACGCCTGTGGTGAAAGCGCAGAAGGCATCGATGCCATGATCCACAACGGCTCCGAGCGGCGTGCTCTGCTTCGTGCGCCGCGCGTGCTTGCCGTCCACGGCATCACAGGTCATGTACCTCGGGTCTCAACACATTAAAGCGCACCGCTAGGCGTAAGACAGATAACATCGCAGCTTCTACCAATTTGTGCAGAGGCACACAAAGATCAGGAAGGGCCCAGCAAAGTACAGTGGGATCCAGCGAACATGGTTGGCCACCACCGTGAACACAGCCGCAAGTCCACAACAAAGGCCCCCGATCACCGAAATCATGTTCGGCGAGATCGATCTAGGAATTCGATTGGCGACGCTGCACCTTGACTGAAACCCATTGTTCAGGATTTAGACAGTATCTTCGCCCTATGGTCAAACTGCTTCAAATACTATATCTGATAAAGCCACCGGACGAGGAGGTTTTAGTGGGCCAAGGCCACAAATTCGTGCTTTCTCGAAACAACCCTCTAAAATCCTCTTATGCCGCTGTAGTACTCCTAAACAAATACCCTGCTAAACGTAACACATGGGGAGAGGGAAGGAGCACAGCTTCGTATAGTGGAGTCCACTCACTTGGCCCCAAACACCATGCAGCTCAAGATGCGGGTTTTCTAAAACTAGGTGTACCTTTTTGAGGGTCCGCATATCAAGGGTTATCGTATTCTTGGGGATCTATTTAGGGGGTCTCCCTATTTTGCGAATCTACCAGATGTGGGCACCAGAATGGGTCCATCTTCTCGTCCAGCCATGTGGATCCAGCAGACTGGAACTTGTGGGCTGCCAAAGCACTGATCTCCGAGTCCGGTATGAAGTCCATCATCGCGGCAAGGCGGGGGCTTCTCAGGTTCCGGTCTCGCTTAACTTAGAGGCTTTGAAGCTACCTAAACCCCAAAAGTATGTAAAATAATAGCCCTAAAACTTTAATAATAGCCCAAAAGGCCATTATTTTACATACTTTTGGGGTCCAGGTACTCCATATAATAGCACTTGGTAGGGTCGTGACTGCATACTATTTCCAGGGGGATTCCGAAAATCCCATCAACCCACAACTACCCTCACAACGTCTCCACGATGTGGTCAGTGCTGTTCAGATGCGTTCAGCTTACTTCCTTCCAGGATGGCCATTTCGTGGCTTCGGCGATCAAAAGCTGTGTCAAACTGAATGAGAAGTTTCCAAGAAATAGGGGACCCCCAACATAGACTCCCAAATACTGAAATCCTTATTGCAAAAAGGAACCCCTAATATTGGACGCCAATTACCCAGCAAGGTGCCCTCAGGAACTGTGAGGTGCTTTGGCTGCAGCCAGTTGTCCTGAAAATACATTTGCCTTTGGGGTTTGGGGATACTACCCCTATAATGGCGAACCCAGTGGAAACGAACATGGAACGTGAAATAGAAACTTGGGTTTTGCATCGGTTTGGAATAGCTTTTTCTAAGGAGTCCGAAAGGCGGGCCCAACAACTTGATGTGGGGATTTTGTCAGACCTCCCATTTGTTTTATTGGGTCCATATTGGGTTTATATTGGGGACATATTGGGGTTCTATTCGGCTTTATTGGGCTTATATTGGGTTCATATAGGGTTTATATTGGTGCATCGAAAGGAGCCCTGGGCTTTGACAGACCGTTCAAAGCTACAGCTGGGACTCCTCAGAAAGTCAAATAAGCTTCCGCTCAACGCATCATATGAGCCATTCTCTAAACTCCAGTATCCTCCTTAATAACTCCGATGACACTCCTCTAAATAATCCCCTATATAACCCCCCTGTAAGGAGTTTGGACTATAGCTTTTTTTTTTATGACACTCAGCTAAGTGCCAAAGCGCGCTCTGCAGGATCCAAATACAAATAAACGGTTCAAGTTTCCAAAAGGTGTTCCCTGGGTTGCTATGCTAGGTTTAGGGCTTAGGGTTTAGGGCTAGTGTGAGCGCCCGTCTGAAGGGCCATAGCTCCCGGACTCTACAACTGTATAAGAGCACACAATAAGCAAGTGCAGACCTACACTCAGACACCTCCTTCCGCGCATGATGTCAATGGGATCAAGGGCTGCGATGGTCGAAGTTACGTTGGGGAATCTACAACCGAACAACTTCATTGAATCAGTCAGGAGATATGGGAGTTTCAAAAAGAGCGGGTATCCCCTAATATGTCCCAAGATTCCATACTTGTCATGCTAGGCACCTCGGTACCTCCCATAAAGGACCCCACATGCAAAATCCCAGACATCTTCCTGTTCTTGCTATTTTGCTATTATTCCTGTTGTTACTATTCTTACTATTACTGCCCTAAACACTAACTCTGCAAGGCCTCAGCCCCATCCAAGTCCTTAACCTTATCCCGAATCCCTTATCTTATCCCTCACCCGGGAAATCTAAACCTTAAATCCTACACATCCCCTGCCAGCACCCCGTTTCTAAACCCTTATAAGTCCTAAGCCCCTAAAACCTGATATCCCTTAAACCACCCCAAGCCCTTAACTCTAAACCCTAAACCTTAAACCCTACTTCTCCCTTGGCATCCTCACTGGGCTCCAGGCACCGCCCTCGGAGCTGCAACCAACGACCACGGTAGACTCGCCGAAGCTCTCCTGCGCTGTTTGGGGCTCACGAGGTCTACTGCGTTGCTATTCAGGAATTTGAAGTAAGTTACCAAATTAAGAGCCTACATGGAGGTTTCCGAAACTTAGGGGTCACTTTTCCTTTTTGGGGGTTTCCTGCAGTAAGTGTTATAATTCCTTGGGTCTACATTGGGGTGCCCCTGTTTATGGAAGCTACAATACTATGGCCTTTCTACCCATAATGTGGTAACTAACTTAAGTTCCCTTAAAAAAGCCCAGCCTAGGGCTTCTGGAACAGAGCTTAGGATTTAGGGTGCCCTAAACCCTAAACCCCGGGGCTTCCCCCTTAACCCTAGGGATGAGGTTTGGGGTTTAAGGTAAATGGCTTGAATCAGGAACTTGGGTTTGGGGTAGGTTTGTAAAGAAATATTAGTGGGACTGTCATCTAAGGCCTACAGTATGTCCCCGGTAGCTACATTGTAATTACTTGGGTTTAGGGTTGGACCTTTGCTTTCCCCAGCAGAGTACTTCGATACTGTAGTCACTGTAAACCAAACTCTCAAGAACCCCCGCCTATAACCTCAAGGTGCATCACCTAGAACGCCCCTAGGTGTCAGAAGTACATAGTGGCCACATGGTGATCATGTATGATAAAGCATACATCACAAAAAGCCATTCTCAATCAGCCCAATAATGCAAACAAAATGGACAAACGGTCAATTTACATCCACTGTCTCGTGCATGGGCAACCCCTGGAGCCATTTCCTCGCTGACAAGGAAACCAGTCTAAGCTGCTTGCGGGCACCCTAACCCTAAACCCTAAACAGGAGTGGGGCAGATAGAGGACCACTAAGCTGGGGTGTTGTGGCCTAGAGTTTCAAAGACGTAGGGCTCAGGACTTAGGGCACTTCATAAAGGCAGCTTGAGGTGTTGCTGAGGAACTTCCATTTCAGTTTGAACAGTTGGAAACAGCGCCCTCTAGTTTGACTGATGTCTTACCGTATTCCCCTAGTTGTCAAGAATCTTGTCCGAAACATCAAAGCAACGTGAGCCTCAGAGGGGATTTCTGCCTTTGTCCACTCCACAAAACTAGTCGGCTGTCAGAAGCCGTCTGATATTTTGTATGCAAATGTCGTGTGCTGCTGTCGAAAGGGTACACCCAAAGCTCCACGATTTTGCGAATACCTTCCCTACAACAGTGATATAGACAGTCAGAGAACGCGTAAAAGCACTACAGCGCACACTACATGGGCTATAGTTTAGACTATAGCTCACATGTTGGAGGGTCGAGGCAGCATGCAACCAGCAACTCTTACTCTTGACACCTTCACTGCTCCTTCAGCAGAGGCCCCACGCATGAAGAGCCTGGAATTAAGCGGTCTAGGGTTTCTAAACCCTTGCGCACGCCCTCAAACAACCTCTTTGGCAGCCACAACCCCATGTCTAGTCTTCAGAGAGGACATGTATAGCCCCGTGAGGACCTTTTCCACAAAGAGGCAGCCAAAAGACGTCACACTGTTATTTTTGAAAATTCCTGCGTATGACGCCTGGCAACTTCATTCAGGGGTTCAGGGCTTAGGGTGACAATAGTAGTAATAATAGTAGTGATAATAGTAGTAACAATAGTGGTGGTAGTAGTAGTAGCAGTAGTAGTAGTAGTAGTAGTAGTAGTAGTAGTACGAGGAGGAGCAGCAGCAGCAGCAGCAGCAGCAGCAGCAGCAGCGGTAGTGGTAGTGGTCGTG